GCCTCAGGCTCTCAAGTAGCTGGGATTACAGACATGCACCACCACCCTCGGCTAATTTTTTTTCTTTTTTTTTTTTTTTTTTTTTTTTTTAAGGTGGGGGTGGGTCTTGCTCTGTCACCCAGGCTGGAGTGCAGTGGTAACATCATGGTTCACTGCAGCCTCAACCTCCTAGGCTCAAGGGATCCTCCTGAGTCCTGTAACTGGTATTTTCTACATACAAATTTTAGAATTTGTATAGTAGTTCTTGAAAGTGTAGGTGCATACCACCATGCTCAGCTAATTTTTTTTAGCTGAAAAAAAATGAGTAGTATACACGTGTATACCACCATGCTCAGCTAATTTTTTACAAATTTTGTATAGATGGGTTCTCACTGTGTTGCCTAGGCTGGTCTCGGACTCCTGGCCTCAAGCAACCTTGCGCTTCACTCTCCCAAAGTGCTTGGATCACAGGCATGAGTCACTGTACCCAGCCTGTATATCACATTTTCTTTATCCATTTATCCATTGACGGATACTTAGGTTGACTCCATAACTTAACTATTGTGAATAATGCTGCAGGGAACACAGCAGTACAGATGTCTCTTGGATATACTGACTACCTTTTCTTTTAGATATATATCAAGCATTGGGATTGCTGGATCATTTGCTGGTTTTGTTTTTAATTTTTTTAGGAATTTCCATATTTTTCCCATAACAGCTGAGTTAATTTGCATTCTCACCAACAGTGTTTAAGGATTTCCTTTTCTCCACGTCCTCACCAACACTTCTCTTTCATCTTTCGGAAAATAGCTATTCTAATAGATATGAGGTGATTCTCATTGTGCTTTCCATTTGCATTTCCCTCATGATTAGTGATAATGAGCATTTTTAATATATCTTTTGGCCACTGTATGTCTTCTTTTAAAAAATCTTTATTCAGGTCCTTTGCTCGTTTTTTCAAATGGGTTATTTATTTTCTTGCTATCATGTTTTTGAGTTCCTGATACATTTTGGATATTAACCCCTTATCCAAATATACAATGTACACATATTTTATCCTGTTTTGTAGGTTGCCTCTTTTCTTTATTGATTGCTTCTTTTGCGGTGCAAAATCTTTTCAGTTTGATAAAATGTCATTTGTTAATTTTTGCTTTTGTTGCCTGGCTTTTGGGGGTCAAACAAAAAAATTACTGCTCAGACACATGTTGTTTCGGTTTCTCCTGTGTTTTCTTCTAGTAATTTCAGTTTCAGGTCTTACATTTAAGTCTTTAATCCAATGATTTTCAACAAAAATGCCAAGAACACACAATAGGGAAAAGAATATCTCTTCAATACGTGGTATTGAGAAAACTGAATATCCCCATGCAGAAGAGTGACATTAGACCCTTAACTCACTTCATAGCTTTTAAATCATCTCTTTATAACAACATAAAATTTTACCTAAAAAATCGTGTGAATTTTATCTAAGCAAAGGGGGCTTTCTGCTTTAATTATCATTTATTTTGGTTTATTATAAATAAATAAGACAGGATTGTATATGTAATTCAGAATAGACAATATAGGACTCCTAATATATTCTATATTATTATTATACATTTTCTATCATTTCATATCTATATATTATACATTAAATATATCCCACATTATATATGACTTGGCATATATTACCTATTATATAGAACGTATTTTAAGACTTTAATATTGTAAATATATAAATTATATAAAACTATATTTTTATGTTA